ACAATTTGGAGAGACCAATTAACCTAACAGCCATGCTTTCTGACTGTGGGAGGAAGCTGGAGTACCCGGGGGGAACCCACACATGCACAGGGAGAACATGCAAACTCCATGCATAAAGACCCTGGGCCGGGATTTGAACCCAGGACCTTCTTGCTACCCACTGCAGCCCTCCATAATTACATATTTGTGAAAAAAGTCAAATAACATAGGTCATTCAAAGTGTCCAGCAGAGGTCTCATCTTGGAACCAGCAGCTCCTCCTTTGGCAGGCATAAGCTGCAAAAGACCTGGTGTGTACTCATCAAGTTTCAGCATGAATGTCTCCACCAAAGAAACTGTGGTGATGCGTCTGAACTCTTCGATGAGCTAAGAAGTAAGGGGACAAAAAAATGAATTTCAATTTGTTGACATTTGTTTGACATTTGTTTTTTGGTGGATAGGAATAGTTATCACACATACTCACCTGAGCCTCAGTGAATAATGCTGGCCACCTTTCTTTTAACTCACCCACAGAGGGGCAGAGGCTGACCACTCCAAGTCTTCGGCTAGAGAACGTTTTATTCATTTTTTCTGCAATTATCTTTGCGTTGTTTTTCTTTGTTATTTCATAAATTAATTCCAGCCTCTCTTTCTCCAGTGTCTCTTGGGTTTCTCCAGTAGGATGCGGAGGGAGATAATTAACCTCTGCTTTTTTTGGCTTTTTTACATTCTTTGATGGCACTGCATCAGCTGGATGCTTCCTTTTTAAGGCATTAATTTCAATTTCCGGGTAAGAAAATTTTCGAGATCTTAGCTTGGCACGGTAATTGTGCATCTTGTTTTTTATGCGCTGCTGCCAGCCATATAAGCCGGCAAATGATCCTGGCTCCTTAAGACACGCAAACTTTGAAACCAAGGCTTCAGCCACTGAGAGGATCTGCTGATTGGTTGGGTAAGCAGTGTACGAAAAAATTACTTTTGCAAGGTCTTGCATTGTTGCTGATTTAACACTGGCATCCATGAAAGGTCTTCCAGTGTTGCGATATGAGTTGTTTGCCTCAGCGAGGATTAGTTGTATGTCTCGGGAAAACTCCGGTACTTGAAATGGCACTGGCCACGCAGCAGGGCGACATGAATCAGGGAGAATGATGGTGTCACTGGAACTTGACGATGCGCAGTCGGACACCTGTGAGGGTGCATCATGATTGGCAGGGCAGATGTCCGTTTCAGTAGTACTTGCAGGATGGGTGCTCACTGAAGTCGAAGAGTTCAATGCAGACGATGATCCTGATTCACATACTGGTTGTAAGTCAAGGGTGATTACTGGCTCTTTAAGGATCACTTTAACAGTGGCCTTGTCATACAAGTCAGCAGTTGAGATGACACTGAAAAACTGATTGTCAAAGTCTTTGTCTTGGTATAGCAGTCCAAATTCCCCATGTATCCCCATCCACTGTATTAGGAATTCCTGTTGGAAGTGTCAACTTTTGAATGCTGTGTTCTTCTAAAATGACTCTTAACTGGACTGCCATTGTTGTTTGGTTTGTGTTTCCTCAGCTGTGAGAGACAGAGAAAGAAAAGAAATTGAGACAGGTTATTAATAGTTGATAAGCTTACATGCATATATTTTCTTCATTATCTTCTGCCAGAGAAATAAAAGCAGAGATTTAGTTCAGTAGAATTTTGAATAAATAATTTTTGATTGTCATTTTAAGAAGAGGGAGATAAGGGCAATAGAATAGAGGAGGGTTAAGTATGCATCACATGTTTCCATTTTCTTTTTCAATGTTATATGTATTGTTCCTGTTAAATAAACATTACAATAAACAAATAAGACAGGACGCCCGCCCATATAGTTGTTGGTAAAATAATATATTTTTTCAATAATTTCAATAAGTGCACAAACATTTGATATAACAGAAATAATCAACCCATTACACTTACTCTGATGTGCAAATGAAGTGTTTAAGGGACACCATACGGCCATCTGCTGTATTGTATGCAGCCATGTTTCTTTCAGTTCAGAATGTTTAAGGATTTCTGTCTCTCCTGTGGGCTCTACTTTGAAACTCCTCAGGTGTTCACAGCCTCTAAGCAACTTCAGAACAAACACAGGAGTTCTGTGCACAATGATTATTTGATGGATTTCTGCAAAGTCAGGTAGGCTCCTGTTGAGCCAAACGGCAGCATCATGCCAATATTATAGTCTGTGCCTAAAATGGTTGCTTTATTTGTCATGTTCACAAAGTCTTCCCTGGGGAACTTCCTTGCAAGGGACTCCTTAATGCTGTCTTTTAGAACATCGACTGCCACTGTAGTCTTCTGGGACACTGACAGTGCTGGCCTTTGGTGGTTGTAATTATGGGTATGATACGATGTAAATAGCTTACCTTCACTTCTGTGGTTCGATCGGGTTCGATGGAAGCCGAAAAAAAGACCCAGAATTTGCTTGCTGTCCCGCTCAGTCAAAAAGCGCGGTCTGGCGCATGCGCAACTAGGAACATAAGACTCACGGTTTGGGGGTATATTTTACTGCATTTTTTAATGTAATGTTGTTACTCTTAAGAAAAGGGTATAATAAACCCATTACTTTATAATTCCTTGGCTGAGTGCAATAATAGAGTAAATTTTATATGATTTGCATAGATTATATATACCTCTCTCCAAAATAGCTTTTATCAATGTATCACAGTATCAGCTTAAAGCACTTGTTGCAGGCTGCTGAGTTTGCATATTTTGCTGTGAAGTACAGCCAGACTTTTGACCGCTTCGCCTTGGGCATTTTTAATCTGTAGCTCTGCATAAAAGAACGTACGTACCTGGCCCCGCCTACTATCCTCGGAAACGTAAAATGATTGGCTAGAAGTGTATCACAGCTCAGGAAAAAAAAGCACTCAATATTGACAACCCCCCCCAACATATTTCTAATATAATATACACACTATGTAAAATACAGTTATTATTATGTCATCATGTTTTTGCAATTCCATAACGTTCCAAAAAACAACAAAGCCAGTAACTCCATTTTTGGAAAGTTAATTGTACAATCTGAATAAGCATGATTTAGCAACTTTCTAAACTGAGACAATCACTGAAATTCATAATTTTCTTTTTCTTGTGTCTTATGAAGATCATCTGTTTATACGTCTTTGAACTGCTTTGTGTTTAGAAATTCGTTCATACCCCTACAAGATGCAATAAATATATAAATAAAACAAAAATAACAAAATAATTATATAAAAAAATAAAAAAAACACCCAGCACGCCCCTGCGGGCGGTTTATCCTTCAAGCTCGGGTCCTCTACCAGAGGCCTGGGAGCTTGAGGGTCCTGCGCAGTATCTTAGCTGTTCCCAGGACTGCGCTCTTCTGGACAGAGATCTCCGATGTTGTTCCCGGGATCTGCTGGAGCCACTCGCCTAGCTTGGGAGTCACCGCACCTAGTGCTCCGATTACCACGGGGACCACCGTTACCTTCACCCTCCACATCCTCTCGAGCTCTTCTCTGAGCCCTTGGTATTTCTCCAGCTTCTCGTGTTCCTTCTTCCTGATATTGCTGTCATTCGGAACCGCTACATCGATCACTACGGCCGTCTTCTTCTGTTTGTCTACCACCACTATGTCCGGTTGGTTAGCCACCATTTTGTCCGTCTGTATCTGGAAGTCCCACAGGATCTTAGCTCGGTCATTCTCCACCACCCTTGGGGGCATCTCCCATTTTGACCTCGGGACTTCCAGGTTATACTCGGCACAGATGTTCCTGTACACTATGCCGGCCACTTGGTTATGGCGTTCCATGTATGCCTTGCCTGCTAGCATCTTGCACCCTGCTGTTATGTGCTGGATTGTCTCAGGGGCATCTTTACACAGCCTGCACCTGGGGTCTTGCCTGGTGTGATAGACCCCAGCCTCTATGGATCTTGTACTCAGAGCTTGTTCTTGTGCTGCCATGATTAGTGCCTCTGTGCTGTCTTTCAGTCCAGCTTTGTCCAGCCACTGGTAGGATTTCTGGATATCAGCCACCTCCTCTATCTGCCGGTGGTACATACCGTGCAGGGGCCTGTCCTTCCATGATGGTTCCTCGTCTCCCTCCTCTTTCTTGGGTTTCTGCTGCCTGAGGTATTCACTGAGCACTCGGTCAGTTGGGGCCATCTTCCCAATGTATTCTTGGATGTTTGTTGTCTCATCCTGGACTGTGGTGCTGACACTCACCAGTCCCCGGCCCCCTTCCTTCCGCTTAGCGTACAGCCTCAGGGTGCTGGACTTGGGGTGAAACCCTCCATGCATGGTAAGGAGCTTTCTTGTCTTTATGTCAGTGGCTTCTATCTCCTCCTTTGGCCAGCCTATTACCCCAGCAGGGTACCTGATCACGGGCAGGGCGTACGTGTTGATGGCCCGGATCTTGTTCTTACCATTCAGCTGACTCCTCAGGACTTGCCTGACCCTCTGCAGGTACTTGGTGGTTGCAGCCTTTCTAGCGGCCTCTTCATGGTTCCCATTTGCCTGCGGGATCCCCAGGTACTTGTAACTGTCCTCTATGTCTGCAATGTTGCCTTCTGGTAGTTCAATCCCCTCAGTTCTGACTACCTTCCCTCTCTTTGTTACCATCCGACTACACTTCTCCAGTCCGAATGACATTCCAATGTCATTGCTGTATAGCCTGGTAGTGTGGATCAGTGAATCGATGTCTCGTTCACTCTTGGCATACAGCTTGATGTCATCCATGTACAGGAGGTGGCTGACAACTGCTCCGTTCCGTAGTCGGTATCCGTAGCCAGTCTTGTTAATGATCTCACTGAGGGGGTTCAGGCCTATGCAGAACAGCAGTGGGGACAGAGCATCTCCTTGGTAGATCCCGCACTTGATGACTTGTGCTATGGGCTTGGAGTTGGCCTCTAGTGTTGTACGCCACATCCCCATTGAGTTCCTGATGAAGGCTCTTAGGGTCCCATTGATCTTGTACAATTCTAGGCATTCCAGTATCCAGCTGTGGGGCATTGAGTCATAGGCCTTCTTGTAATCAATCCAGGCAGTTCACAGGTTGGTCAGTCTGGTCTTGCAGTCTCGGCTGACTGTTCTGTCTACCAGTAGCTGGTGTTTTGCGCCTCTGGTATTCTTGCCAATCCCTTTCTGTGCCCCACTCATGTATTGACCCATGTGCCTGTTCATCTTAGCCGATATGATGCCTGACAGGAGCTTCCATGTGGTACTGAGGCAGGTTATTGGTCGGTAGTTGGAGGGGACCGGTCCCTTCTTGGGGTCCTTGGGGATCAGGACCGTCCGACCTTCGGTTAGCCATTCCGGGTGTCTCTCGTTAACTAGCAGCTGGTTCATTTGTGCTGCCAGACGCTCGTGGAGTGCAGTCAGCTTCTTTGCTGGAGACCCTTTCTTGGATATCTGCCACTGTGATGGTTACTGGACCCTGTTCAGGGAGGTCGCTATGGTCTGCCCTCAGATCCACTAGCCACTGAGCATTGCCGTTATGGGTTGCGTCCTTCTCCCATATGCTCTTCCAGTATTGCTCCGTCTCCAGCCTTGGTGGTGCTGTTCTCTTATTGTTCCCTTGCCACTGAGAGTACACCTTTGCTGGTTCTGTGGAGAACAGCTGGTTTATTCTCCTGCCTTCTATCTCTCTGGTGTACCTCCTCAAGCGGCCAAAAACACACTGCACTGTTAACATTCACAAAATATTAAAAACAGTCATTTTAAAAAGAATCACAAATGCTAAAGACATGATATGCACTTTTGAACATCTGAATAGCAGATCTGATTAATTACACTTGTTAAAACTCACATACCACACATATACCACTTGCTGGTTCAGTTATTTTTCAATACCTGATTGGTTAAAATTCATATTCAAGACAATGACTATAAGAAATTTCTTGTAGTCCAGTTACTGCAAATATAATGAAATAAATGAATTAAATAAATAAATAAATAAAATTAAAAAAACAAACAAACAAACCAAGACGCTGTGCTCTGATACAATGATTCAGTCTCTTGAGTCTCTAAGTTTGGGAATAGTTTACCAGCTTCCAGACTACTGTACTCTGAATCAACAAAGCGTTATTCAGTCCCTTGGTAATAATTGTAGTAGCACTAGCTGTGCATAGATCACTCCAAAAATTACCAAGAGGTTCATCAGCTTTTCTTGGGAGATCTCCACAAAGTCACTTTAATGACCTGGGTCATTGTCATAGATTACTATTAGCTAGGGCTGCTCCACCATCTCAGATCTGGCTCAACAGACTTGTCCTGAATGAATGAGAAAGAGTGATCACAAACTAATCTACTAACTCACAGGATAATTTTATGACAAATCATCTCTCTGAAAGGTGGTTTATATTAGTTCTGACCAGAAGATTCTACAAATCGTCATAATACTTTTATGTCTTTAAGGGTCACATAGCAACTTTTGGTGTGTCTGTGTTTGAAAGCTATGTATTATTCCAGGTACAACTCTGTATTTCTGTAGAGGTTTTGAGAAAAAACTACATATTGGTGGTAAAAACAGATGATCTGTGTTCTAGACAGTAAACGGTTCTGAGATCACC